TGTTGGAGACACAAGAGACTCGGGTTCAATCTCTGGTTCAGGAAGATTCCCTTGGAGTAGGAAATGGCAACCCACTTCAGTATTCTTGCCTGGAAAATTCAATGGACAGAGGAGCATTGGGGGATACAGTCCATGGGGTCACAAAGAGTCAGACCACAACTGAGCATGTGCACACACACAGTTATTATCATCCCCATTTTATAGAAGTGCTAACAAACAGAGGCACAGAGAGTTAACGTGACTTGCCCAGGGTCTCATGGTAAATGGCAGATCCAAGTCAAATACCACCAATCTTATTCCTGACCCGTCTCTCAACTACCAAGTCCTGGAAGCATTCTTGTTATTTCTCCATCCAGCTAATGTTAACAAGACCAAGAGGAGAAATTCCCTGGTGGGCTAGTGGTTAAGATTTCGTGCTTCCACTGCAGCGGACATGCGTTCAATCCCTGATTGAGAAACTAAGATCCCACAAGCCGCTGGCACAGCCAAAAAAAAAAAGATCAAGGGGGACAAACTTGTCAGAAATAAGATGATCAGTGGGTTGATAACAAAACTAATAATAGGAGAGAATAAAATTGCAGAGAGTAAAAACTCATAAAAAACAGGTTAAAAAAAAACTGAACTTTCAGCTAATCAGGTTGCTAGATATTAAGCTTATAGTAGTGGCCTGTGAAAGATCGATTTATAAAGAGAAGATGGTTTTGATGTGAATAAAACTGGCTGTTGTAAAAGTATCCCAGCAAATTCAGGGTTATCAGGCCCAGAGAGGTAACTGCAAGACTATCCATCCCTTGGTTCAGCCAGCAGTTCACATATACGGAAAGGAATCAGGACTAAAGAGAAAGAATGGCTGTTGGTAATTACATGTGGATCTTTCCATTTCAGTCAGTTTCCTTCTCATTTGAAAATAATAAATCCACATAATTGAAACAGAGTGGCATCTGGGGGCTAAAGTTCTAGATTACTAGCATCAAGGCTCTAGCTTTGAACCTTGGGCAGTTTCTCCATGTCCTAATCATAACCTGGCACACACTAGACCCATGATAAATGGCATTATACTTTACTTAAAAGTAAAAGTGAAAAAGGTAGTTGCTCAGTCCTATCCAACTCTTCATGACCCCATGGACTGTAGCCTGCCAGGCTCCTCTGTCCTTGGGATTCTCCAGGTAAAAATACTGGAGTGGCTAGCCATTTCCTTCTCCAGGGGATTGTCTCAATCCAGGGATTGAACCCAGGTCTCCTGCATTGCAGGCAGATTCCTTACTGTCTGAGCCACTTTAAGTGACTTGTTAAGCAAGAGTGGACAGATTTCAACTGTGTCTCATTTTTCTATTTGTGTATTTAGGGAACTTCTGTGAATATTATCTTGACCATTAGATATTGATGGAAACAAGTAGGATTAGCAAATTCTTATCAAAACAGAAAATATTTTGGAAATGTGACTCATGTGTTTAAGACTATAATCTTGAATCCAATGAAAAGTGTTTTTCTTCTGATTGAAAAAGAGACTTTGCAAAGTATGTTCTCTTCTTTGTCTTGACTGAGACTCCATGCCTAATAAGTGGAAATAGGAGAGGTTGGGAGAGATTGAGAAATGGGTGAAGTGTTAGGACAAGTAATAATTTTATGTAATAGAGGCAGTTTTACTGGTTCATTTGCATTGTTTTGATTTTCCTAGGGGGCCAAACCATTTAGCAAATGCACTCTTCTTGGGGTCCCAGGAGTCTCTACAATCTACAAGATTGTAGAGATTTGAAAGGCTAGTGCCTACAAGCTGATGGCAGGGTGAAAAACAGAGAATGCTATGAAATTCAACCCCCAGAGACCAAAAGTGACTACTACTAGACATTTGTCTAACTTTCTTTGTGGGATACCACTATTTAACCTTTCAATAAACAGATTAATTTGGGTTAGATTATTCGGACTGTTGGTGGAGTCAAAAGAGAATATAATAAAGACAAGTTTTGAAAACTAGATAAGAGATTATTCATACTACTTTCAGTATAACTTTCTAGAAATTAATTTCTACAAAATAAATGGTTTCTCATTGCCTTTTGGAAATAGGGAAAAGAAAGGTATAGAGAGACATTCAAAACATAGGGGCAATTATTTGCAGCCATCTGAAATTTCACCAGGAAATACGTTAGGTCCCAGATAACCTAGGGATGTCTTATATCAGAAATTGGAGTTAATGTTATTTTAGCTAGGATTTTTAAATGTTATATTCAAAATAAGATAGTTCCACTCAATACATTCTATTACACTTTAAGAAGTGTGCTAACTTGTTTCAAATTAATCAACTTATTTTTGAAATTTGTTTGTTTGGTGCATGTTTTATCCAATAAAAAACACTACAAATCTTTTTTTCTGAAAATGCTGCTGTGAAATAGCCATTCCTCCAAAAGAATGTTCCTAAGAGAAAAAACACATGATTACCAAGCTTCTTGCATAGCAAGGACTAATTAGGCAAAAAGTAAATTAAGCATCATTTAACCCCCAGTAAAATCTGAGTGTGCTAGTAAACTTGTGGTGGTACAGATTTGAGTGCTTTCAGTGATTTAGTTCTAGAAACAGATTTAGCATTAAGGAGAAGACCCAAACAGGAACCACCCACATTCCTGTTTTTCATGAGCATTTTGGAATGAAGCAAGAACATGTTCTTTAGCCAAAGAGATTTAATATAAACTCAAGAAAAATGAAATGGGTCAGTGAAACATTTTAATGAAAACGCGTAATTTATTGAATGAAGTGTAGGTTACATATTTTCATTCAAATCTCTCACTGATACATTTAATTTTTCCAAGTTCATATTTGTTAAAATGATTGGTTTGACAAAAATAAAGTCATTACTTTTATTTTTTTTATTTTTTATTTTTTTTACTTTTTTCAATTCCATGTTGTTCAATTTATTTCATTTTCTCCCCCACATTTTCAGTTTTTTTTAACATTAGCTGAGGTATTCAAGGAATTATTCAGTTCAGCAAAAACAAAACAAAAAAACAAAAAACACAATTTAGCCAAACATAAAGTATTGTAGACTTTAAAAAATAGAAATTAAACATTATTTTAAAATACTAAATAGATACATCACTCCATTAGAAAATATTTCATAAATATATAAAGAGGTCAAACCATAGAATGTTGTTAGCTCAGTTCAGTTCAGTCACTCAGTCGTGTCTGGCTCTTTGCGACCCCATGAACAACAGCACGCCAGGCCTCCCTCTCCATCACCAACTCCCAGAGTCCACCCAAACCCATGTTCATCGAGTCGGTGATGCCATCCAGCCATCTCATCTTCTGTCGTCCCCTTCTCCTGCCCCCAATCCCTCCCAGCATCAGGGTCTTTTCCAATGAGGCAACTCTTCGCATGAGGTGGCCAAAGTATTGGAGTTTCAGCTTCAGCATCAGTCCTTCCTATGAACACCCAGGACTGATCTCCTTTAGGATGGACTGGTTGGATCTCCTTGCAGTCCAAGGGATTCTCAAGAGTCTTCTCCAACACCACAGTTCAAAAGCATCAATTTTTCAGCGCTCAGCTTTCTTCACAGTCCAACTCTCACATCCATACATGACCACTGGAAAAACCATAGCCTTGACTAGACGGACCTTTGTTGGCAAAGTAATGTCTCTACTTTTTAATATGCTCTCTAGGTTGGTCATAACTTTCCTTCCAAGGAGTGTCTTTTAATTTCATGGCTGCAATCATCATCTGCAGTGATTCTGGAGCCCAGAAAAATAAAGTCAGCCACTGTTTCCACTGTTTCCCCATCTATTTCCCATGAAGTGATGGGAACAGATGCCATGATCTTAGTTTTCTGAATGCTGAGCTTTAAGCCAACTTTTTCACTCTCCTCTTTCACTTTCATCAAGAGGCTCTTTAGTTCTTCTTCGCTTTCTGCCATAAATGTGGTGTCATCTGCATATCTGAGGTTATTGATATTTCTCCCGGCAATCTTGATTCCAGCTTGTGCTTCTTCCAGCCCAGAGTTTCTCATGATGTACTCTGCATATAAGTTAAATAAGCAGGGTGACAATATACAGCCTTGATGTACTCCTTTTCCTATTTGGAACCAGTCTGTTGGTCCATGTCCAGTTCTAACTGTTGCTTCCTGACCTGCATACAGGTTTCTCACCTGAGGTATGGTCTGGTATTCCCATCTCTTTCAGAATTTTCCACGGTTTATTGTGATCCACACAGTCAAAGGCTTTGGCACAGTCAATAAAGCAGAAATAGATATTTTTCTGGAACTCTCTTGCTTTTTCGATGATCCAGCGGATGTTGGCAATTTGATCTCTGGTTCCTCTACCTTTTCTAAAACCAGCTTGAATATCTGGAAGTTCACGGTTCATGTATTGCTGAAGCCTGGCTTGGAGAATTTTGAGCATGACTTAACTAGCGTGTGACATGAGTGCAATTGTGTGGTAGTTTGAGCATTCTTTGGGATTGCCTTTCTTTGGGACTGGAATGAAAACTGACCTTTTCCAATCCTGTGGCCACTGCTGAGTTTTCCAAATTTGCTGGCATATTGAGTGCAGCCCTTTCACAGCGTCATCTTTCAGGATTTGAAATAGCTCAACTGGAATTCCGTCACCTCCACTAGCTTTGTTCATAGTGATGCTTCCTAAGGCCCACTTGACTTCACATTCCAGGATGTCTGGCTCTAGGTGAATGATCACACCATCGTGATTATCTGGGTCGTGAAGATCTTTTTTGTACAGTTCTTCTGTGTATTCTTGCCACTTCTTCTTAATATCTTCTGCTTCTGTTATGTCCATACCATTTCTGTCCTTTATTGAGCCCATCTTTGCATGAAATGTTCCTTTGGTATCTCTAATTTTCTTGAAGAGATCTCTAGTCTTTGCCATTCTATTGTTTTCCTCTGTTTCTTTGCATTGATGGCTGAGGAAGGCTTTCTTATCTCTCCTTGCTATTCTTTGGACCTCTGCATTCAAATGGGTATATCTTTCCTTTTCTCCTTTGCTTTTCGCTTCCCTTCTTTTCACAGCAGTGTAGTATATGGATTGGAGAGTGACTTGTCACCAGCCAGCAGAGTGGGAGTCACAAAAGTGAGGCACGGGTTTTCCATGCTGCCATAGGGAAAGGACGGCGGCAGGACCAGCAGGTCATACTGCCCCCAGATATATGGGCCTCCCAGATCTTCTGCAATTTTAAGCATAGATTCAGTCTCAGAAAATTCATAAGCAGACTTCTCCACCTGCTCTTTCTCAGACCATACCAACGTCCTTGGGCCAATCTGCCTGCTTTCTAAAGCTCCAACAACCAAAGCAATCAGGTAGCAGGGGATTGGAACTTTTTGGCTGAATCTGTAAATTTTCCTGCTCGGGTCTTCTGGGTCAGGTGCTTCTCCATCACTAATGGCACTCATAAGTGCCACCAGTTCTTTGGGGACAGACACCTCTGCGCTGTAGGTTAATTTCACGGAAGGAGTGTCCTGGCAAGGAAGAATAGCTCTACAGTGGATGGCCTGGCACTGACTGAAGAGATAGGGGTGCTCTTTGCCAGAAGTTTGTTCAGGGGTGAGCCACTGAAGAGCAGAAGATTTTGGAGATGTCTCGAAAGAAATCTCTATAACAATTTCTTGATTTCCGAAAACTGGAACCGCACTCAACGCAGGGCCCGCCCCACACGGAGCAGCCGGGAGTCTGAGCAGTGCAGACGGCGAAAGCACAGACACCCGCGAGCGGGGCAAACCCAGCGCGGCCGGAACACGTGAGTGCTATCCACACAGAGCGGCGTCCGTCTGCAGCGCCAAGTCATTCCTTTTAAATAGATGGACAAGAAAGAGGACAGGGAGTTAGAAGACTATTTTCTTTAGTGTTCTGAAGTTTCATAAGCAACATCCTTTCAATAAAAATGTGAGAAATGAAAGAAACAAGGGGGAAAAAAAATCACATATAGTCCTTCACCCAAACTCGACAGCTATAGCCATTATTGACATTTGTAGATAATTCTCTGACTTTTTAAAGAATATTTCAATTGTGAAGTCCTACATACCTACAGAAAGTCATATAAAATTTCTATGTGCAGTTTAACAAGTAATTAAAAACTGATTATCAACATAACAGAAAGTGAAAAATTTAAAAAAAAAAGAGATTTCCCCAGTGGTCCAGTGATGAAGAATCAGATTCAGACTCAGACTCAGTGCTTCCACTGCAGGGAGAACTCAGATCTTTGCATGGCATGTGGCAGGGCCAAATTTAAAAAAGGAAAGAAAGAAAGAAATGAAATACTTTCTGAAAGCTTTCCACCCCTTCCATTAACACCACCACTATCCTGATTTTATGGTAGTCAGTCCTCAGATTTACTTGATCAATTAACCACCTACACCATTGCTACCCATATTATGCACCCCTAAGTCATACAGCTTTAACTGTTTTCCTACTTTACATAAATATATTTGCCATGTGTTTTCTTTTGTGTCTTGCATTTTAAAAACTCAATATTATGTTTGTAAAATTCACCACTGTTTTTTCATGTAGCTATAACTTAATTTTCATTATTGTATAATATTCCATAATATGGATTTATCTATCTACTAATAGGCATTTGGTTTGTTTTTAAGTTGAGGATATTACAAATAAAGTTTGAATGTGTGTTCTGGTGTGGATATCCATGCTTGTATTTCGGGTATATACCCAGGAGTGTAATGATTGGTCCTAAGTTATTGGTTTTAGTCATTCTTAAATATTTCAACATGATTTTCTAAGTAGTGTTTCTATTATTTTGTAGTTGTAATAATCATCATTTTGTTGGATAAATAATTTTTCAGTTGTGTCTGAATTTTACAGCCTGGTCTTTGCAAATAAATTCACTTCTCCACTTTCTAATTTGTTTGTAAAAGTGATACAAAATCTTAAAACTTATAAAGTTTATAGCAGATATAAAATCTCATGAGGTATTGCCTCTTATGCAGAAGGAGAAATTTTGTTTGTTGTACTATGGAAGATAATGAAACATATATTTTAAAAATAATTTTAGAACCTTTCAAAATTTAAGTTATATTTGACACAAACATTGTGTAAGTTTAAGGTGTACAGTATACTGATTTGAAATGTTTATATTGTAATATGACTGCTATAGTAGCGATAGCTAACACCTCTATCATGTCACATGATTGTCATTTCTTCTGTGCTGAAAGCAAATAATATCTAGTCTCTTAGCAAGTTTAATGTATATAATACAATTTTATGACTATGCTCACTGTACTGTGTATTACCTCTCTGGAACTTATTTGTCTATCAGTTGCACATATGTAACCCTTAAACAACATCTCTTCTGTTCCCCCCACCCCCTGAGAACTATTGTTTTAAAAGAGTGGTGAATGTTTGCCCTGTCAGGAAAATTCTAGAATTCTGTTTAACCTTTCTGTAAAAGGTGTAATTTTTAGCTATAGTTTTTAAATGTAGTTTTTAGCTGTAGTTTCTGTAATCCACTAAAATTAACATATCACATTTTCCCAACTTCTTCGAGAGTTTCTCCACCCAGGCTCCCTGCCTGTCCACTTCACAAACCACCTCACTATTCAGTAAAGGCTTTTAATGTGCTTTGACACAGGAACCAAGGCTGCTAAGAGACCACCTGTGCTGAATGCACTTTGTCCTAGGAAGAGCAGCCAGAGAGAAAACCGAGGAGCAGCATTATCTACCACTGCCCGGATTAAATCAGGTGAGAAGTGGATTTCTGTGCACTCTTCAATCCCCACCATTCATCTGGTCTTTCCCTTGCTTCCTGTTCCATCTCTCTCTTACTGTAATTGGGTAAAACTGAAGGTACCCCTCGAAGTACAGACTGAAGAAACCCAAGCTGGAGGTGGAGGAAATACGAGGTAAGGAAAATCACTTTGCAAATTCATGTGTTATGCTTCCGCCTTGTTTCTCAAACATGGCACAAGGACTTGAACTTAAGGGAAATCCTAGGCGTTTACTTTGCCAATGAGGCCTTCCCTGGTGGCTCAGCAGTAGAGAATCCATCTGCAATGCAGGAGACGCGGGTTCCATCCCTGGGTCGGGAAGATCCCCTGGAGAAGGCAGTGGCAACTCACTCCAGTATTCTTGCCTGGGAAGTGCCATGGACAGAGGATCCTGACAGGCTCTCTGTGGTTAACAAACCACCACCACCACCATCACCACTTTGCCAATGATTGCTGCTGAATTTGTAATCATCCCCTCCTTAGGGAGGAGTTAGTTATCACAGAGATGAATCAAGAGGGAGAAGGTATCAATCAAAAGAGGGAGAAGGTATTTGTATACATCTCATCTATCTCCCTGTTTCTCTTTCATGTTCTCTCCTAAAACTCTACCTGCCTTTTTGGATTTGAGCAAATAATAGCAGAAAATATTTTCCCACTCCAATCGTACTACTTTTTAAAAGTATTGATGCTCATTTTAAGTTGAGTGTATATAAGGGACTTGGATACAAGGTTTTGAAAATTACTTAACTCATTTGACCCTATATTTCTGGAAAAAGGAGTTGGGAATGGTTCTAAATTCCCTACCTGACAGGCATTCAGTAAAACATGCCAACAGTGTGCTCAACAGACTACAAATTAATACCTTTTGCAATTCCATAATACTTTAAAAAATTCCAGATATTTTTAAAAAACTGATTAACACAGAAAGTGAGTGTTAGTTGCTCAGCGGTATCTGGCTCTTTGTGACCCAATAGACTGTAGCCTGCCAGGCTCCTCTGTCCATGGGATTCTCCAGGCAAGAATACTGGAGTGGGCAGCCACTCCCTTCTCCAGGGGATTTTCCTGACCCAGCAATCAAATCCAGGTCTCCTGCATTGCAAAGGGATTCTTTACCATCTGAACACAGAAGTGTGGTGGAAATGAAAATATTTAATGTCTTAATAACTGACCAAAATATAAGAGAGGATTTTGAGGAAAGATCAACGAAATGAAACAAGCCTTTTGTTGTTTAATTCTTAAAAATTTTATCACTTGACTTTTTGCATGTCTTAAAATTCTTATTTCCTGCTAACTCTGGCTGTAGGTTAGAAGAATGGCAATTTCACTGATGCCATAAAAATGGGTATAAGTGACTTTGCAGAAAAGACTTCAAAAATAAACTGATAATTTATAACATTGGGAAGAAAGTGGTAATTCTGAGAGTTCTTGAGCTTTTAAAAATTTTTTTGCTTTTTTTTTTTTAAAGAAAGAAAGACAAGAGAATTCCCTAGTGGTCCTGTGGTTAGGACTCTTTGCATTCACTGTTGCAGCCCAGATTTGATCCCCACTTGGATACCACAGGCTTCACAGGTCAGCCAAAAAATAGACAGACAAATAGAAAATTCAATGATTATGACATAAGATGATCAAAATTAGTGGGTAAAAGTTCAATAATTCATTAAGAAAAAAATACTTTAGTTCATTGACTGGTTACCAAAATGTACAAAGTCCTGACTGAAAGACATTTCTTGATCACTATTTCTTTACAGTGCAAATTTTTAGATTGAGTTTAAAAAGTCAGGATTATAAATGTGTTTATTTAAGGATATTTTCTCTTTATTTACTTCTTAGGAAGCTGAAGCATTTTGGATATGACGTGTAAAAATTGGATATTAATTTCTACTACTACCCCCACAAGTCTAGAAGATGAAATTGTGGGAAGACTTCTAAAAATTTTGTTTGTAATCTTTGTTGACTTCCTGTCTATTATATATGTTGTTATAACTTCTTAGAAAACTGACTTCCTTTACTTTACTTGTGAATTTCATATTGAACTCCAGTGAATAAAATTTTATAATTTAATACGTTGAGTGATTTTAATTTGATGACATTTCCAGTGATTCTAGAAGCTAATAAGACATTGCAATAAAAACAACACTGTGTGTTATTTAGAATTTTATGGTTTATAAAACATTCACATAAATTGAAATGGAATTTTTTTCAAAAATCTACACTACTGTCATAAAACCTCTTGATTTTTAACATGATTGATATAGTTAATAGATTGACTACAATGTGTAAGTGTAATTATGAATGATTTTTTTAATTACAGATGCATACTTGTGTGAAATTTTATATGGTTCTATTTTAAAATTTTTAATTTGTTTTTAAAATTTATTTTATGAAGTGTAGCTGATTTACAGTGTTAATTTCTATTGTACAGCAAAATGTTTCAGTTGTACATATATATACATTATTTTTCATATTCTGTTCCACTATGGGTTGTCACAGAATATTGAATATAGTTCTCTCTCCTATACAGTAGGACGTTGTTGTTTATTATGTGATTCTATTTTTTAACACACCAAACTTAGCATAAGATAATCTTTCCATATGATATACTAATAGTTTATTCTCATTTTCTTATATATACATTTCATCTGTGTGTAGGTAGATTGTTTTTCTTAATCCTCCACAAGTTTTATGTTTCTACCAACAAAAAAAACTTTAAGTTAGGACTAGAAATGCTTAAAAAGAGATTATTTTAGGAAAACAGAACTTAGAAAAAAGGAGAGAATACAGGATGCAACCTGTTTTGATTTTCTGTTTGGAACTAAATGCTCACAGTATGTCAT